TCTCTATGAGGCAGGAAGCAAAGAGTGGATGCTACTGGAAACTAGATATTGGCTATACTTGACTGAAATGTAAATAACAAACGTTAGCAGCAACTTTTAGTGACAAAAGTCTCACTGACACGTGGCCATTCTGTATTAGGCTGGAAGTTTATCTAAATTTTCCTGGTACCTACGGATGAAATAAGACTTTGGACACAACCTGGAAATGGTTATGCCCATTTCGATTTCCATCTTGGATTTTCCCAAGTAGTGTGTGTCTGTATGTCGTGTGTGTTGTGCATGTCAGTGTATGATGCTATTTACCGGCTAATTTTACTTGTTAGGTACGTTTTATTCCTCTGCAAACAACTGAAATGAAAATTATTTCTTTATTGATTTCCGGAATTGCTTTAACTGTTGACAGGTGTGTTGTTTCCCTGAAATCTGATTTGTCAGTGCAAATGGCCTTTGGAGGGGGAGCACTCTATTTGGCCTAACACTGAAATCTGAGTCTGTCTTCTCACTTTCTTCAAAAACTTGAGAGTTGAAACAATCCAAAAGCTCAGATTCTTGAAGAGACCTGGAGAAACTTAAGGGAGAGAAGGCACAGAGAAGAGAACAGGGGCACCCATAGATACGTTTAATTTCCATTTATTATTTAGTACTAGAACAGAATTTGGTTGTGTGCAGCCTTTGATAACGCACCTTTAAAAAAAAAAAAAAACCATGTTTCATCATGATAGTTTCAAAAACCCATTTATTTCTCTCAAAATGTACAAATAACTTTTATGTTATTTGTTTCAATTGCAGGTTAAGTTTTAAGGACATAAACATAATATTACAGTAATATTTGGAAGAAAAAGAAATATTAGTTATGAACAAAATGCAATACTTCAAGGAGGCTAATTCCAGGTCTTACCAGTTGAGGAAAACTACATCTAAAAATATCATTTTGGCATTTAAAAAAATATGTTCAATTACATGTAATTTTATTATTATTAAAGTTAAATAGCAGTAGATGCCTAACCAGCACAAAGCCTTCACTTTTGTCATGCAGACATTTGAAGCAAACCTGTTTTAGACCAAATCCTTTTCTATGAAGAGTTAAAATTTAGTTTAACGAAGTGTTAACTTAATTGGGCTCAGTTTTCTCATGTATATATTCAGGACTATGGAGTGACTCTCTTCCAGTTTGAAAAGTCAGTAAATTTATTTATCTTGAAGACATTTTACATTTTACAGATGCTTCTGATGAACATTTATTGTCATGGAAAGTAAGATAATGTGTCCTTACTAGTACTTATCACAAAGGTTTTAAAAACTTTTTCAGCTTAAGCATACTCTACTATATTAACATTGACCATTAAAATTAACACTTACTATTGTGCAAGAAAAGGGTAATCTTCATGTTTTCCAAACCATATTATAGCTTACAAACACACACACACACACACACACACACACACACACACACACAGCTCATACATATATCCATCTATATAATAAAAATAAAATAAAATTAAATTAAAATTAAATACAATTTTTGTCTTATGGTTAGAGGCCAGTGTAACTTTTATAATAGTGTCAGAAAACGAGAGAAAAAGAAATTGAAGTGAAGATCAGTTTATAGCTACAAAAACCCCAAATAAAATTTTATTTTGTTTAAATTTTAAAAGTAAAATTTAATCCAAACTAAAAATAATGTGCCATCCCAAGTATGGATTTTACCAGGTACAAAAGGATAATGACAAAAGGATATTGATGGAATAGTCAGTCTAATCCATCCATTCATTGTGTAAAAGAAAAAAAAATAACGTGATTACTTCAATAGATGCAGAGAGAGTAACTGATAAAGATTAGTCACTATTGATGTTACAAATAAAAACTTCATAAAGATAGTAATGGAACAGAAGAAAATTCTTTATGGTAGCAAAGAATCGAGAGCAACCAAATCATGCATTTATAATGATGTGCTCTGTGCCAGCCAAACAGGAGGAACCAAAATTTATATACAGTAAAATAGACACACATGAAAGAAATGTACACTGTAAGACTTTTTCTGTGAAAAATAACACGCAGATATAAACAGCAGCAGTATGTATTTTAAAAGGCCAAATACATACATTTATATGTCAGATGATTATAAGGACCCAAAGTAAATACATTAAAAAGGGCCCCAAAATCAGATTAACACTGAGATGGGTTCAAAGAGGCAAAAACTAACCTAACCTAAACAAGAAAGGAACTTTGCCTCGACCAATGATGATATAATGTCATGAGCTGACAGGTCAGATCAGAGAGATTCTCTACACCATTTCTAAATAAATAAAAAAAGGTAATAAAGTAGCATATATTCTATAACTAGCATGACTTCTACAATACAACCAACAAAAACAGTTTTGTTTTCTTTTTGGACTAAGTGTGGATTAAATAGAAAAGGTAGGGACATAGCAAAGGGGCCAGGCACAGAAGCCTAAATTCCTGTTCTGCTACTTACCACTCTGTAACCTCAAGATAATCACTTAGCACACCACAACTTAGATTACTTAGTCTGCAGAATGGGACATTTCTGTTTTGTGTAGAATCAATATAATAATACATGCCTGGAGAAGAGCATAAATCCCCAGCATACGGTAGATATTCTAACAAACATGTATTTTCTCCATCCCTGTACCCCCAGGCCCCACCATACCGGCTTCTCATAGTTAATAGTCTTCCTGTTGGAAAGAATTCTTAGGAAAGACTGCAACCACTCCTACACATTGTTCCACTGCTTATGTTCACTGAATGTTTCAGAAAATCTTTCATTTTTCAGGCCTATCTCTAAATTGCAGAACCTATGATAATGCTACCTATGATCCCTAATAGGACTAATCAAAAAGGGGAAGAAGGCAGAAATATTATATGCAAAGAATTATTTATTAGCTTGCTGTATCTGCATAAACTTGTAAGGAAGAAACAATTGGTTCTGCCGTAAAACGAACCTGATAAATGTTGAGATAATTTCACTTCAGTTTTGCAGACTTAGTATTTTATCATTTCCGTGTTTTTATAATTAACAATAGGTCTGTAATTTTCTTTCACAATTGGTGAATTTATTGAGATATTTCCCACTCTTTGACATGTTCCATCTTTACTTTTGCCCTGCTGTGTCCCCACAGTTATGATGCTCCAAATTTATAGAGTTTAGATGTGTCTTGTTGTTGGTTTACATTCCTGTTCACTATTTATTCATAAGATAAGGAGGAGAGGATTCTATGTAGAAAAGAACTTTTATATAGAAAATTAGCAATAGTGTTCTCGGAACAACTACTTAGTTTGTGGTACCATTCGGATTCTAACTTGGCATGTGTAATACTGCCTAATGTCACAAACGGGTCTCATTTGTACAAAACGCTGACTATATGAGAAAGTTGAAGGAATGGTTCATCAGAAGACAGTTCAGGTTTATAAGGGTTAAGTGATATTCAAGCTCGATGACAGTTTGTGTTTATTAACCAGTAAGAATATTGCATTCCACTACTGAGACTCTGATGAGTATCATGGCTTCAGCACAGGGTAAAAGAAATCAAGATTCTTTTGTTTTTTTTTTTTAATTACTTTGAAGATGCAGTGAGAATTAAAATTTGACTAAGCTGGACTGTGACTGCTACAACCATTTCACGGTGCTCAGTGTGCCTTAGAAAATAGAGGTGCTATGCAAACAGTTGTCATGAATTTATTTTCTCTTTCAACACCTGATGGGAAAATGTGCTACTCAGCTAAAGAACTGCAGTGGGAATAACGATCATTCAAGACATCTTCAAACTGCACTACAGATATTTAATTTAAAAAGCACATTGCCTGTTTTGAGAGTCAGTATTTCCTTCTGACAAGAAATATCATTAAAGCATAGTGATGTTAGGAACTTAGGGATTTTTAAATCCTCATTTTCCTTGAAAACCTGGCTGAATAAAATACTGAAACTTGCTATGAAGCATCAAGTCCTTTTACAATGTTTTCCTCTGAACACAGAGAGTTTATTATCATCCCCCCTGAGGGCAGGCAGGAAGAATAAAGCTAACATTCTGATTTGCTTTGTTGGATCTGATGATACTTGCTTTCTCCGAGATTTCACTTTTGGATCTAAAGTGGCACTTCTGGACTACCCGCTAATCTCAGTTTGTTGTTATTGTTGGTTAGTTGGTTGGTTTTTTTCTCCTCTCACTGCCTAGATATTTACATGTCTTAGTTATCATTGTGAGCACAGATGAAAGTAGTGTAATTTAAATGGACTTAAGTGTCTTGCTTTTATAACAGCGATGCTTAATTTTTGTTTTGGTTTTCCATTGTTCTAATTTTCTTTGAGGGCCCTTCTTTTGCCTGGTAACTAGGTATGACAAAGCATCATATTTGATCTATAATTCAACACTATTGGGATTAGAAGGACCCTTCATACCTTGTCAAAGTCCTTCATTTTGCAAACAAGGACCAGGCACCCAGAGATGGGAAATGATTTACGTAGGCCACTGCAGCTACTTAGTGTCAAATACACATCCAGAAATCTTCGTCTTGCTAAAGAGTTCTTGCTGCAACTTTTGATAAAAGTTATTTTTCCTCCACATCAAGCTTCCTTTGTTCTAGTCTCAACTTATATAATAACGTGTGAAGAGATCTAGCAACAAACTCTTTATGTGGATTTCCCGGACTTGCTGGTTGATGACTTCAAATGTTTGACAGTGCACATGGCAATGTAATTTATCCTGTGACTGCAAAGATGACATCCTGTGATTAGTGCTTGATTCCTCCACAAAATTATTCCTGAAAGGCTTGTAGGTGCCTATAGATCCACAGCTTCCATAGTTTTCCTTTGAAATGTACCTGAAAATATCATTCTCACTGTTAGTTAAAGACACATGCCAGATATGGTGACACAGTTATAATTGCTAATTATAATGTGATTAATAATTGTATCCTTTTTTCCTCTCACCACTGTGCTGTTGCTCACATTCTGATTTATCCATCCTGTTTTGCTGTTCTAGGTTTGTGTGCTGGAGAGGCAAATATTTGACTTCCTTGGATATCAGTGGGCACCTATCCTGGCAAATTTTGTACATATTATTATCGTCATTCTTGGTTTGTTTGGAACTATTCAATATAGACCTCGTTACATAACAGGAGTAAGTACCTTTTCTGCCTTTTTAAAATCTAATTGAACTAGAGAATGATGTGCAAACCGCAAATGCCTTGAAAACTTATGCATATACTCTATCTTAAAGATGTGGATACTCTAAGTACTGTGTTTATTTTCATAGTTTCAGGTTCCATCAACAGTAATTGAAAATGTCAGGTTTAATGCACTTGATAGCAGTGTAATCAGATTGAATTCTCATAATTTGTACTTTCAGCAAGTATTCTCATAATTATAAGCCTAACTGTGTTTCTGTATTTCTAAATTATAAAATCATGCTCTCTGGTTTAATATATTTTAATGGGAATTTTTTCTCATATTAAATAATCATATTTTATATATTGAATGAAGAGTTTAAAATCAATGCAAACGAACATACACTATTGATGTGAAAATATTAACCCACATTAGGGCTCATATTTAGCATATGTGAAAGCCAGAATAATCTGGACAATTGTCTCTGTGTTCTCCGTAATTCTCTTTTTGGCTCAGAGGAAGTATTTTGCATTCCCACTCAAGTTAAACTTACTTAACATAAAAGTGAAATCCAACTGTGTTGCAGTTACTATGGGAACCATAACTTGGGTTAGCTTTTGTATGTGCCTCAGATTTCAGCTACTCCTCTTCATTAATGTACATTTTTTTCTTTTTAGTTTCATCATTTTTCTGTATCTTCATTTTTGACAAAGGAAACGTCTATAGGCATTTATTTAAAATTGTAAAGCAGGTTTGTAGTAAAAGCGCATGTAAAAGATAGTACAATGAAAGCTCTGCCTCGTTCAACACAAGCCAGCCGCCCTTCTCAGGTTTTATGAAAGCATACTCATAAAAGATGCATCCCTTGTAGCCTGTTGTTTCTGTTATGTAGAACCAGATAAAGCTCATTGGTACAGAGCCAGGCAATGTGATGGTGGCTGGAACCAAAGGAGCCACTGTCGGGCTAAGGAAGAATCAGAAGCCCATAGTCCTCACCTCTAGTTGCATGCCCAGATCCCAGCGCATGTCACCTCAGAGGCTAGGTAGCCATCTACATTTTGTAAGAGTGGGAGTCTGTGGCAGGGTGAAGTTTTTCAATGCACAAGATATGATAGTATTGTCCATTTTCTTTTATGAGTTGAAATTTGATACAGTGTAGGGAGGATTGTACAGTGGTTGATAGTGAGTCCTCTGAAGTCATAATATCAGGATTGAAATCTTGGATCTGCCAAATTCTGTGTGAATTTAGACAACTTCACCTTATCTTTAAAATCAAACTAATCTTTACATTAACTCATATTGATTTCATTAATTGATATGTTGTTAGCCATTATATGAAAAAAATTAACTCACCTTTCTTATTAGACTTTGCGATTCCTTCATGGTTTTATTCTTATAAATAATGTTGCTCTGAATATCATTATATAAATATTTCATCTTTATTTCTGATAAAGTTCTTGGGATAAAATCTAAATGTGTTCAACATATTTGAACTATTTAAAAACTCAGAGGTTAATTTTGAAGAATAAGGGCTATATTCTATGAAATGTCCCTAGCATCATGCTTGATGTTTTAAAAGCTCCCAAAAAATATTAGCTATGATATTTTGTTATTATTATTATTTAAAAATAATACCAACTTGTGTAGCATAGAAATAGGCTGAAAGGAAATTTAAAATAGAGTAAGGTGCTATATTAGTTGAACTATTTCTGGCCCTTTTATTCTAAGATGCTACAATGCAAAAAAAAAAAAAAGTGTAGGCTTTCTATGTATAAAATTATGATGTCATCCCTTCTAATAAAGACATATGACAGATCTGTCAATACTGGCCACTTTCTCTGGCATGGAATAAGAGTTATGATACCAAGGGAAAACACCTTTAAAATTGTTAGAAGTTTTGTTTATTGAAACTGTTAGACACAACCTGAACTCTTTGTGAGGTCTTAACAATGAATCTCAGAGTGCTATCTTTGATTTCATCTTGACCAGTAAACAGCGCTGTGAATTTGGGTTTTTCCTTAAGACAATGTCTTTGGAACTCTTCTGCCAGCTAGAGATGATGTAAATTATAAACTTCTTTTTTCCAACTCAGCAAGTCCTGGGCTGGAAATATAGCCTCTAAATTCTGCTCGAAAATCTTTCTTTAGCTCATCTCTCTCTTACAATATCATGCTGTCTGTGGCTAAAAGATGACAAATAGCGCTGTCATCTTTTTTTGCTTGGAAATCCCTTTAACCAGGCCCACAAACTCATAGGCATATTTTCCATCTTTCCAGTTACTGAAGGCAATAGCTAAGATAATTGTTCTGGCAGTAAATTCCATGAGTCTTCTTTTCTTCATCCCTCAGAAACAATTTCCTTTCTCCACTCCGAGTCTCCTTGCTGCCCTCCTGGCATCACTTGCCTCCTTATCTCAAAACCAATATTGTGTGTTTTAGGTTTAACTATTACTGACTTTCTGGTACCAATTTCTGTCTTGGATATCTATGTCTGTGTAACTTCTGTGCAACAAACTACAATTGACCCTTGAACAATATGAGGATTAAGGGCACCAAACCCCCCGCACAGTCAAAAATCTGCTTATAACTTTCAATTATTCAAAAACTTCAATAGCCTACAGTTGATTGAAAACCTTACTGATAAACAGTTGATTAACTCATATTTAATACGTTATTTGTGTTATATACTGTATTCTTGCAGTAATGTAAGCTAAAGGAAAGAAAATGTTATTAAAGGAAATCATAAGGAACATATATTTACTATTGATTAAATAGAAAAGGATCATTGTAAAGGTCTTCATCCTTTAACAATATAACAATTACAATAAAAACTATAATTTTATATTTGCCATATTTTCTAATATTTTTACATTATAAAATAATTTGATATAAAAATAAGAAAGCATTTCTTGACTTCATGACCAAAGATTAACAGTTTTGCATATTCCCTTTGTGTGTATACAAATGAAACCTAACTGTGTATGCTATATATTCAAATATGTCTAAATTTTAAATTGAACATTATATCAATTTAAAAATTAATATTACTATTCCATTGTTTCTTTAACCATTTAATGTTATACATATGCTATTTTCATTTTTTTATTATATTAAATAACCCCCTATAATCATTTCCATAAAAAATACTCTCATCTTTTTTTGTGAATCATTTCTTAGGAGAAATACCTAGATAAAATCAAATAATATGAACAAATTTAAGGCTTTTAGTGTATAATTTACAATAACCTATTCAAAAGTATTTTACTGAATTATTTTTGTACTATGTATAGCAGAGTCAATTTCACTGTACTCTTGCTAATGCTGTGTATTATTTGTTTTCACAGTTGTTAATTTGATAGAAGAAAAAGTGTCACTTTCATTTTTAATTGCATTTTTAACCTTAATGAGTTAGAATTTTCATATGTTCATTGCCCATTTTTTAAATTTTTTATTTTTGGGGAATTGTCTTTTTTTTTTTTTTTTCAGGCTGGAGTGCAATGGTGCCATCTCGGCTCACTGCAACCTCTATCTACTGGGTTCAAGCTATTCACCTGCCTCAGCCTCCCAAGTAGCTGGGACTATATGGGACTATAGGCAGGTGCCACTATGCCCAGCTCATTTTTGTATTTTTTTTTTTTTTAGTAGAAATGGGGTTTCACCTTTTTGGCCAGGCTGGGCTCGAATTCCTGACCTTGTGATCCTCCCAGCTCGGTCTTCCAAAGTACTGGAATTACAAACCTGAGCCATGGCTCCCAGCCAGGGAATTGTCTTTTGGTGTTCTTTGCTAATTTTTTGCCCTGAAGTCTTAGTGTTTATCTTAATTTACGTAGATCATTTGGTAAAGACATTTACCTTTAAAACATCATAAAGTTTCCTTTTGTTTTTTTATGTTTTATATATATATATATATATATATATATATATATATATATATAAAATTGCATTTTAGGTTTTGGGGTACATGTGAAGAACATGCAAGATTGTTGCGTAGGTACACACATGGCAGTGTGGTTTTCTGCCTTCCGTCCCCTCACCTGTTTCTGTCATTTCTCACCATGCTATCTCTTCCCACCTCCCCACCCTCTGTCCCTCCCCCACTTCCCCCAAACGGACCCCAGTGTGTAGTGCTCCCCTCCCTGTGTCCATGTGTTCTCATTGTTCAACACCCGCCTGTGAGTGAGAACATGCGGTGTTTGATTTTCTGCTCTTGTGTCAGTTTGCTGAGAATGATGGTTTCCAGGTTCATCCATGTCCCTACAAACGACGTGAACTCATCGTTTTTGATGGCTGCGTAATATTCCATGGTGTATATGTACCACATTTTCCCTATCCAGTCTATCATCATTGGGCATTTGGGTTGGTTCCAGGTCTTTGCTATTGTAAACAGTGCTGCAGTGCACATTCGTGTGCACGTGTCCTTATAGTAGAATGATTTATAATCCTTTGGATTTTTTCATGTTTATTTTATTAAAGTTAACTCTCTCCATTTGTGAAATTTTCCACTACTTTTAAAATTATGAAATTCAAATATCATTTTGAAAAAGATATGTCTTCTTTATCCTTAGGTCTAATTTTAATTTCACTAAAACAAAAAGGCAGATTTTCTGACATTGAGTATGAGGACATTTGCTGTATTTGAAGAGTTTCAAATTATTGATGGGACATTTTATTTTAATTAATTGGTCTTCCCTTCCCCACAAAAAAGTATGTGGACTTTCTCTCAAACATTGAGCTTCTAGCAGCAAATAAATGAGAGTATTGATTTTTGTTTTTTTCATTCATCTTCTTTTTCATAGTAGCAAAGAAAAAAAATTAAAAGTTGAAAACAGATGATTGGAACAAGAACTCATTAGTACCATAAAAGGTCTCTGACACTTCGCAGAATATAATATGCTGAAGGAAAATGAAATAGATGATTTCTGGTCAAAGCAAAGGAAACCTGAACTGAGAATTCATAGAAATCATCTATCTTGTATAATTCTCAACCACATTAAATCCCAGAAAATAATTCATA